TTGCATTGGATTCGAGTGGATATTGAATTCTAAATTCATGCCATTATTAATGTATTGGAAGATTTTCGAATGGTTCTGATATTATTCCGAATTAAAAGAAAGTATTTGCTCTGCGATGCTCGAATTATTACACCATAAGAAGAATTAGGAAAATTTCGTGATGCTCTGCCTAGAATTATTCCAACTTACAAATCGAGATGAGCCAAAATATTTTCACACGTTGCTAAGCAGTTCTAGAAGCCCAAAAATGTACACGTGTTGCTTTGAAAGCATGTAGACTCAAACTTCTGCACGTTTTGCTAAGCAAACAGAGAAGATCAAAAGTTTGAAGGCGTTACTTTGCATCGAAATTAGCCCAAATTTTGTGCACGCGTTGCTAAGCAATTATAGAAGCCTAAGCATTTGCACGTATTGCTTAGCAAGCATGTAAACTCAAACGTTTGCTCAACAAGAAGCTGGCAGGTTTGCAGTCTTGCAGACACACAACTTCTCCTGACCTTGCGATGAGAGTTTCAAGTCTTAGGAGCAACCACGTCCAGTTTTTACCACAATTCACTTTCTAACGCAGTAAGGCCAAAATCTGAAAAAATACACGGCTGACCGAAATAATCCATAGGCAAACTCTGCTTGAAATTAAGAGCGATTCATCGGTGGCTAATGGATGGCCATCCCTAGATAGAGTATATTTTTATTCATGCAGGCAGCTTTCCAACACCTAAAAGTTTGTGTAAAGCATCTAAAAATTCAGGTAGGAATCACATTCTAAAAATGTAGGTCGCACGCGTGTGCTTAGGAGGATTATAATTGACTTACAGTTCTGTCTGAAACAGCATTGCCTCAATGATGATTTTACTAAGTCAGAAATTTTTTATATGAAAGTATTAATAATTATTTATTTTGAAATGAACGTGCATTTACTTGCGGCTATTTGATCAGCTTGGATTAAACGCTTCATTACTTTTACTTACTTCAGCTCTGTGGTTTCAAAATTTTTTATATAATTTAGCTATAACAGAAGCAATGCCTGGAATTTGGTACACATTAATTTTCAATCATACGAGTGCGAGGTAAAAATTTTCGAAACAAGAATATAGGGATAATGTACTTTTTTGGTAAATTGATAAGGTTGAAAGCAAAAATCAACTATCAGTTTAAACGGTGAAAAAAACAGTCATTGAGAGGGGAAAATGTTCAATAAATAGAAAAAATAGTTTTATCTATAGCTAGACCATTTGAGTGATTTATGTTATAGAGTTACACTAAATTATTTGCAAACATTAGAAACTAATTTACATTATATTTAATTACATTATTGCGAGAACGATTAGAAACAATCATATATGATTAATATGATACCTATCTATGCCTTAATCATTTACCAACCGCAAGCATGCGAAATATGTTATTATGTGCGGTATAATTTGTTCTTACTAAGTTACTTATAATATTTATACCTACGTGTGAGCTTCCATATGTCATTATATCACACTTAAAAATTAATTTCCATGATATTAAAATGATTTAGAACAATAGAACAAAAATCCTGTAATATCGAACTTTTATGACCTACTTTACAGTTTAATATACTCGTAATTTCGAAAAATTGATTAGCGTTCGATCTTTGACATACAAGCACATAACAAAATACGAATGTCTCCCACAAAATCCATCATTGCATTTCTCCGTTTTCTTTGACATGTGAATTTTTCTTCCTTTCCCCACAACTCAAGAGGAGGCTTCGCATGTAAGCCTTTAATAATTATTGTATGTTTAATTCTTTTGCAGCAAAGATGGACGATGTTGTAGTAGAACAAGAATTTTGGGGGAGTAATGGCGTTTCGTTGATTTGTAATATTGCCATTCCTTAATAACACACATGGAAGTTAGGTTTATTTTATTTAAATCACAGACTTGAGATGATCTTCGTGTGCACAAGTGTTATCCTAATAATTTGTATGTTCAAGATATCAATCCCTTATTCCAATTTGCGCATATACCTCATCAATAATATTGAATTCGATGATCTCTATCATTTCTCTGCTGCCCACAACTTATCAAATGAGCCCAATAATATCTAACCTTATCGTTGTTGCGCTAACCTCTTCAAACCTCTTTAAGCGCGATAATATCTACCTCTATTTTTGCAGCTTATCCTTAATCTACGTGAGTAATCCCGATGATTAGAATTTCAGATGTGGGTATAATGTTTTTTCTTCGCACTGGCAGTATAAAATTTACACCATTCACTTGAAATTTATACCATTCTAATTTTCGGGTTCTTTTTCTCTGGTTATTTATCATAATAATACTTGTTAACTAGGATCAATAAATCAACAAACTTTACAATCACTAGTAAGTTAATGGGAACCAAATATTTCCGGGTTCCACAAGTTCTTAATAGATCAGAAAAGTCGACGATTAATTATCGAAGTAAAGCCTTGATTCCTAGTTCGTATCATGCGTAAAATTTTTTTCGTGGAATAGTAGGGTAACACGGGGCAGCGAGCCCACTGCGGGTCATGGGCCCATAGCGGGTTTCTCGCTAAGTATGGCAGATATTGGTCCGTGTTCTCTACCGCCGGTTATAATATAATATAATATAACTGTGTACGCTTTGAATAGGCCTTGTTCTCCTTCAATCGAATTTTAACCGCAGGACCACCTTGCCATTTTGACCAGATTTTTCACGACTCGTGATATCGCGTTTCGAACCCTCGACTCGCTGCTCCGATCCGAACCACTCGGCTTGACAAAAGATTTGACACAAGCAAGTTGGTAAATTTTTCCATAATATTTTGTGCAAATACCCAGTTGAATGTCAGGTAAAGTTTCCGAATGTTAAATGCTGATTAAATTTGGTCCTGAAATATTTTGAAAATTTTTTCCATCCAAGAAACGTAAGGGTTATGATAAATTTTAATTTCAAAATAAGCGCTGCTAATAAGCTAATAAACCCAGCCCAAAGCAATTTACCCAATTAGTCATTAATATAACATCCTTTCATGATATTATTAGGTTCTAAGATGAATTTAATTACTTTTTGAATTAATAAATTAATAAAGAAATTTTTTAAAATGGTATCTCCTGATCACAAAAGTCGATTAAAGGAAGATTAATTAAGACTATTAACTATTAACAAAGACGAAAAAGCAGCCGCTACGTGTACTTAAGCGAGTTTTAATAACACAGCCAATAGGCAGATTAAAGGGATTGAGACGTTGGTCAGATTGATTTATAATGATAAGAAAACATCATTTGTTAAAGGCTGACAACAAGAACGATAGATTTGTGCAAAGTATTTGTGCAAAACATCTTCGCTCTTTAAGCTTATTCACACGCTAGGAAACTAGTTCTCAAGTTTGCAATGAACACAAACGATATCATAATTTATAATATTATTGAAAATGCGCCATAATATACTCACATTATGCATATTAAAGTTTTTTTTTCTAAATAACGTCTAATGGTCATAATAATGTGCATTATAGCAAATACCACCACTTCAAGGATCATTTTGCGAAGCTAAATAATGTTTTTCATCAGTAAAATGGGTTACTGTTAACTAATTAAGGTTAATACGATGCCAGAATAATGCAACAGGTTTCCATTTGGTTTAGCGTTGGATTCCTAAATTTAATATAAATGGGAATATGATTTCTCTTCCGCACATATGCAAAAATTAGATATATATTTTTATTTAATTCACTGTCTTCATTTGAGAACCCTTAACTTTGACGTTGTTCCTTTGAAGTGATGTAGCCTTTGGCATAATAGAACTTACAACTAATTACTGTAAGCATACATAGAAATTGTCTCATTATTAATGGAAAGCAGATTACAAGCGCCTCATAATATGCCCACGTCAAGGGAAGAGCCCACACTTCCAGTTTCCTGTAATTAACATATCATGATTTTTTGGTCTTCTTTAATGAGCAGGCCAGCTTGCCGACAAGAGAAAAACCGCATGCTTCATAACGGCTGGAAAAAATAGCCTCTTTAAAAATATGTTCAAGTGGAAAAAAAAGACTTCGTTTACTGCTCTGAGCTAATTTCCCAGAGCGTCACTTTGTTATTCAAGCTAATTAATTCTAAGTAATTAATTTATCAAAGTAATTCCATCTAATTAAGGTTTTTGTGAGTGGCTTTAGCGTTGAGAGGGTCGTTAACACGCGCAGGTGCAGAAAAAATAGCTGCTTTTTTAATGCCATGACCTTTATAGGACTCTTTTATTGTTGCTTTGAAGTTTAGAGTGCTGATACATGATTAATAATTTTGTTTGCTTTGCTTATTACAACTTGACTCGAAATTTGATATTAATATAATTTCTGACGAATTTCCCGCTAGCAGTCGATTTTAGTAAAAATAACCCTTACCATAGAGGTTCACAGTTGAACTGAACCCATGGTATGTTACGGGTCAGAAGCAATCGATGATCGCGAGAACCGACGGTTCAGTACAGTCGATTGTTCACTGTCACAGAGAACCGACTGTTCAGTTGTTATTAAAGACAATGGGAAGTCCTCAATTCACTTGCTATGCGACGAACGGTAACTAAACGACTGATTTTCGAAACAGTAGTTTCCGAAAATCTTAAAATTGGACCAAATGGAATAGGCTTCTGAGTGAGTGAGTGTCGCACCCAAGTTGGCTCCATAATCAAGAAATTATTTGCATATATAATTCCGTTTATTCAAACTAAGGACTGCTATAAGCGGTCAATCCTAAGCCAAGTGGAATGAATATAAAATCCAAGTGCATGTGCGACTTGACTTAATTGAACAAAATCAAAACAGAGCTATAACTGATAATATGCTAATAAGAGTAACAGCATGGGTATGATTATAAGTTTACATTTCCGATTAATAATTGTTATTATTAGCCATATTTTATGTTTTATAATATTAACATCTGGTATTATTATAAAAAAATGATTATTTTACTGGAGTTCGGAAATAAAGTCTATCAAAATCAGTGGGCGTATGGATCAGTTAAACAAGGAGTAAATGATAACATTTTATTGTATAAAAGTAGGTACAGTTCGTTGACTCGATCGCACAAATCGAGTTTCGTTTTCTCGACCGAACATGTGCGAGTTTCGTACGACTCGTTCGAGCAGATAAAAAAATTCGGTTCACACGCACTGGAGTCGAACAAACTTGAAGTTAGTGAACTAGGCGTTGACAAGAACAAGAACTTAATCTGTACTCTAAGCGGCAGGTTACGGTAAACCAATTTGAGAAACTTGCCTATTTTCACGGCTAAATTTTGATTGTCTATGTTTTTTTTTATTGAGAAACATAGTTTGATTTTTTCCGCGTAACACGAAGTAAAACCATTTCTGATAGAAATTCACGAAAACTAAGAAACTTGGTACTTAAATCCCCCAATTAAATCAGAAATACCCGCCTGCCGCTATAGGTATCGACCAGACTTAACGTGTGGACGCGGCGTAACAGAAGAATAAGGTGAAAAACATCGGTGCTGAGAGTCGGTTGCAATACCCTCGCTAATAATAACAAAATATCATTAACAACAAAGGTAAAGCTCCCATTAAGTAAATATGCAATGAATTCATCGATAAAAAAGGGGAAACGGTAATTAACAACTAAAGTGACTTTCAATATTAGTGATTCGTAAACGTGTGGATGATTAAAAAATTTTCAGGGTGCTGTTCTGGGATCATGTTCTGGGATAGATGCAGAAATCTCTTCAAAAACAAAAAAAAAAAACTTCATACGTGTTTTTAGAATTAAAAATAAATTGTTCATGATTGAAGGAAATAAATCAGCGTATTGCTAATGAAATTGTGACTTTCCTTAATACTTATAAACTTTTGCTGCTGTTCACCAGTCGTGCAAATCACCGCCGAAACCTCCACCGAAACCGTGACCGAAATCGTGCCCCTTAACATGCACGGGCACCTTGACGGGCACGGGCACAGCGACCTTCTTGATGACGGGCACGTGGACGTGTTTCACGACAGGAACGGGCACGTGCACGTGATGTACAACTGGGTATGGCTGGGGTACGGGTACGGGGTGAGGTACGGGGTGGGGCACCGGGAAAGGGGCGGGCACATGGTGGGGGATGAGTACCCCAATACCGATACCATGGCCACCACGGTAATATCCGCCACCTTTGCCCTTACCGCCGCCGTATCCGCCGTAACCGCCGCCGCCTCCTGCCGCCGCCAGCGACACGGAAACCGCCAAGATGATGGAGAGCTATGCAAAAAAAGGAAAAAAATACGCTTTTAAAAGGTATTCATGCATTTTGATCCATTCGAATGGAACAAAATATTTAAAATGAAATTTAAAAAACAATAACGAAGATACGCTTTTCTCCTATGCACGTTGCTGATATTTTACATAGGATACGAACATTACGTAAATAAGCAACAATCTTTTAATTCGATTAATTTAAATGTGAATATAAATGTGTGCTAGAGTTAACAAGAATACTGAAGTGAGTGGAACTTACTTGAAAAAAGTTTCAATATAGATTTTATAAGTTGACCAATTCCCCTAAAGTTTGCTCGCTCAATTTAGAATCATATTCTCAATTTAATCCAAAACTTCATGCTTTACCGGACCGATTTCAAGGAAAAATATCTTCAATAGATTCAATGGTAGCCATCATTTGTGATAATATTTATCATAGTGGTATATATTCAAGCAATTTTCATCGCTATTTTCGAAAATCATTGAGAAGGTGAGAGAATATTTTATCTACTTACAAATAACTTAAATTTCAATCTTGTACCGAATAATTGTTGGTTTTGAAATTGAAAGATAGAATTAAATCTACGCTCAGATTTTCGACCCGGGGTGACAGTGATTTTTTTAAATTTTACAGGAATGTGAGCAATTTACGGTAATAAATCTTTAAAAAAATTCTAACATCTTATCAAGATATGGGTTTGGATATGAAAGTTTTTTGTAACATTTCTGGCTTCGTGTATATAATTAATATAATATAATTAATTTTCGTCCATTTTTCACCATAATATTCTATCTGAATAATATTGTCATTTGAATGGACCCTGGATATGGTTCTCATTCACTGTACAAATAGATACAAGATGCATTTATGAATCAAGTTCCTTGTGCAAACGCTATTCTGAACCAAGAAATAAGTTGATTTTAAGAGGTCGATCACAATTCGCAATATTGGAATAACATTCTTGTGATTAGTTTTATATTGTCCATTATTTCGATGAGCCAATTTTTTTCATTTATCACTATAAAAACTGCTTATTTTAAAATTTGAACAGAAAAACGATTTTCCTCTATGTTAAAACAATAACTCCGGCAATAGTAAAATTTCCCATTATTTTCACACGAGTTTACTCACAGTAGTTTTCATTGTAGCTGAAGGAGATGCAGAGCTGAAGCTGAAACCACCGTGATCGTTCTGAAGTTCAAGTGTAGGATTCCCTCTTTTATACATGTGAAAACCGAACAAAAACACATTGACCTTGCAAGCCGGCTTCTCGGGTTGGTACAGCAACCTGGCATAACCTCAGTTAACCTCGCTCCAAGAACCTGGGTGAAGTCGAGATTCAGGGCCAACTTGTGAAGTAAATGATAAGAATGCAAGGGCATGTTGTGGCCTCAGCCTCTCTACAACATTTATGAATGTTACCTTTCATTGGGTAGCATGTGTTGTCCTTATTGACTAAAACAAGCAAACATTGCGTACAAGAGGAGTACTTCTATCCAATTAATCTTTTGATTTACAGGTTAATATCATTCATCAGACATAGCATTCTAATGTCAATACAAAAAAATATATTTTCGATCATATAAATTTAAAAAATTCGCGTTGCATGGACAAATGATCGAATTTTCACGACCATCATTCAACTCAGCATGTCTGCATTTTCCAGGATGTGATTAAGTGAAATGTTATATAATGCTTAGCGAAGTGCAAATTTGAGTTATCTATACATGGTTTTTCCTAATTCCTAGAATATAAATTTATTTTATTTATTTTCAGTTATTAATTAACGTTGAAATTTATTCAGTCTATATTTCATTATCATTTCCTCGGCATCTTCGCTAAAGATAAATTAGCATCACGAGATAAATTTATACTTACAACCGGTTAATAAGGAACTGTTGATTGCCTCTCGATTATCATACGCGTTGAAATATATTATTAAGAGTAATAAATGTTAGAAGCAAAAATTAAACAGAAAAGAAATCAGACAACAATATGAGTTAACCTAGGGAATCGTTCATTTTGTTTTGACGTATTTTTAATCAACATGCCTTCGTTCTAACTCCATATTATAATTTATGCATGAAAAGATGAAAGATGGGTTTATAATATTTACAATTTAATTTTTATTTAATGTTACATGTATCCTTCATGCCCAAGAATGAAATTAGTAACTTTTTATGCATCACATATTAACTGACATGATTCATTGTATATTGACTATTTCATTCTTTTTTATGTGGTTTTATCAAAGAGGAATACTTCGAATGAAAATTCAATTAACCTCGTGTCTTAGCAAGGAAATATTTTGAGTATCTTAGCAAAGTAAAATCACATTGAATATCTTAGCGAAGTAATTTCACAATGAATGTCTTAGCGAAGTAAAATCACATTGAATGTCTTAGCGAAGTAATTTCACAATGAATGTCTTAGCGAAGTAATTTCACAATGAATGTCTTAGCGAAGTAAAATCGTATAAGTCTCAAAGGTTCCTACAGAAAAATGTCGCTTCTTTCATTAATTAATGGAGATTCGAAGCGGAAATGTACTTGTCATGCCATTTTTCTGATGTTTGAACAGCAATTTCATTGCGAGTTCAATGTGGATATTAACAGACAAGTCGAGATCAAATTAAAAAGTCATATGATCATTTATTTTAATGAATTGCTAGAAAAATTACCACACATTGTGATTGCACCAAACAATTATTATACATACCATTCCAATACTCAAATAACGAATAATTACATTTGGATTGCATGAAATTTCTGACCAGCAATTTAAAACCTTAGAACCTTCAAACGGAGACATCACTTTTTCAGCTAACTTGCAGAAAAAGTTTACAAGTTCGCGTTACGCAACACGTTCGATTTTTCAATAATCTTGGTTGCGTCACTGCACTGCGTAACCGACACGCGCGTGATCAGGTTTAAAGGTCCCGCTGTTCATAAATCAAAGTAACGGTGTGTTCATTTTAATCGTTTCCGTGTAACATTGAGAGATTTAATTGATACTCTTATCATACGGAATCTTCGTGGATTTCTTTATTGCTATTATTTATAATATTAATATTATACATATTATTTACAACCAAAACCTGAATAGCTGAAGACCAAGCTAGCTCATCTTGGATAAAGCATGCGTTTTTCAATTCATACGTGATTTTCTGTAAGCAAGTAGCTATATATACTTAATTATATAGGGAGAGCTGCTATGTTATTATGTTACTATTATGTTACTAATAGTCATTTAAAATTCTTTATTGCAACGAAATAGTTAAAGAAATTTAACGAAGGTTCATAAGAAAATTTTTGAAACCTCTTAGATAGTTGAAAATTACTGTATTGAAAAAAATGGGAACTTGGGAATTAATGTCAAATTATTATATACGATACATGAGTAGGTGATTGACGCGTTGAATAAATCTCAAAATATTATTCAATTTTTTTAGCGATAAAATTTTTATATATTTCAACACAGACTGCCAAGCTTATTCCAAGCTGCAAGCTCTCGGTGAGCTTGTCAAGACGGCTGCAAGAAAACGTCAGTGGCGAATAAAGATAAATTTACGTAATTAATGCGTAATTTTAATTTAATTTTCATTTAATGCGTAACTAAAGCAGCGACGCAGAAAGATCAACTTACTTGATGTCTTTTAATACCAGACCCATTCTAGTTTTACGGGACATCACATTTAATGTGTAACTCGAGCATGCTTAGACTTTAAGACATACAGCGCTACGGCTTTAGACAGCTGACTTCGAAGATAACTTAACTATGCCCCCTGAGTGCTTATCAACAGAGAGGAAAATGGAGCGTATATTAGTTCATATTCTGTGCCGGCCTCTACCATGTATCTTCTTGGGATGAGGTACGATGGAGACAATATTCAGTTAATGCTGTCCACTGTCTAACGGATTATTCCATGAATAATCCGTCGAAAATCCTAAAATTTTAATAAAATCCTAAGCAGTCGAAAATCTTAAAATTTGACTGAACATATAAAATTCGGTTTCAAAAATTTACAGTTTTTCATTATTAACGACATTTTTTGATCAGTGGTTGCCCCTCTTGTTCTTCATCATTTCCACAATACCAAGGCATTTGCTTCAATTTGCTCCCAGATCGCGTAGAAATCAGAAAATGAAGCACAGTCTTAACATAGTTTACCCCAGCACACTCAGCCTCATCACAGTTCATCCCATTTCAAATCACCCGAACATAGTTTACCCCAACACACTCAGTCCCATCACACTTCATTCCAACTCAAATCACCGAACATAGTTTACCATAAACACTCTCAGTCCTATCCCAGTTCTCCCCAACTCAATTCACCCAAACATAGTTTACCTCAGCACACTCAGCCCCATCACAGTTCATCCCATTTCAAATCACCCGAACATAATATACCCCAACACACTCAGCCCTATCACACTTCATTCCAACACATCAACCCAAATAGATCACCCCCACACGCTTCTTTCCAACACTGTTCACTAACAACACAGACAGTTCACCCCTACACTGTTCACCCCAAATACAGTCCTTCCGGTATAGCTCAGCTCAACACTGTTCTTCCCAACACAGTTCACCGCAGTACAGTTCACCTCAACATAGTTCACCCCAACATACTTCCCCGTAACACTCCACAACTCATCGCAGCACACCTCAATTGTTGATTTTAGCTTAAGGAATTAGCGACTCAGTTCCAGGCGAACTCACCAGGCCAAGATTGCCACAAGGCTGCAGCAATCCAACAGCATTGCTGGATTGTCACAGGGCTGTAGCAATCCAATAGCATTAAAGGATTGCCCCAAGGCTTCAGCAGTCCAACAGCTTTGCCGGATTGCCACAAGACTGCAGCAATCCAACAGCATTGCAGAATTGCCTCAAGGCTTCAGCAATCCCACGGAACAAATTCTATGTGCTGGGAATACAGGCAATATTTATGTGCTTAGATTGCGGATAGTTTTTCATATTTTTTCGCTTGCATATCAACCAAAGAACAATATAAGAGTGAAAAATATCAAATAACTCGTGAATAGTCATTTTGAAATTTGCAGTTAAATCTTGGATTAAGGTTCAACCATGACAAAGCATATATATAAATATAAATTTTCTATTCTGCCACGTATTAACGCTACAGTTATTACGCTCATTATTTAGATTTTCTAAACTTTTTATTTATAACTCGAGTGCCCTGGAATTAGCAAATAAATTTAATTTATGAATAAGGAAAATAACTTGAAAATATTAATTTTCTATGAATAAATAAATAGATTCTATAATGGATTAGTTAAATTCATAGATTTGGATTTTCTAATACGTGTTTTATTGCTAATACAGCCGTTACATTTCAATGATGATTATATCAAACTTCGTGAAATAAGTCTTGTAGCAACGGCAGATTAGAACAAATAAATAATTGAGAATTGCTCTAGCCAAAATTGAAAGCTTTGTTTGAGGCAACAAAGAAAGAAATTCCCTAAAGTCCGGATATTCCTTAAAAGCGTTCTGTTGTGGCTAATTATTCCAGGAAACGATGGCGGCATCAATGCAATATGAAAGTTTTTAAATAAAAGATTATTAAATTTTGGAATAAAATTATTATTTGGAGTGGGCAATTTTGTTGTGTGTTTCAACGTTTTTTACTTCTGAAGGATAAAATTTGTGTGATTACCCGAAGCGAGCTAAAAAAATGACATCATAAGCGGCGAAATTGTGCAACATTAAGAGATTTATTTAGATTCGTTCTTCAGAAATGGAAAAGGATGCGTTGTAAAAATTGAAATATCTAGCGAAAAGTTTATTCAATATTATAGCTTTTAGCGGAAATTTTACAAAAAAATGGGATTGTTTACTGTGATGATTAACAATTGCAATATGAATACTGATGGGAAAATATTTGATGAAGACGATCAGTCACTCCTAAATGATGATCAGTCACTCCAATTAAAAAAAGCATCTTATCGAGAAGGTCATGTATCCAATAAACATTTCTAAATAAGGTCGCATTGAAATAAGGAAGGTTGTTCAAACTTCTCCATAGATAAAATGTGATCATCAGACTATAACTACTGTTTATACTGGTAATGGCTAGCACAACAGAGGTTTTCGAATATTAAACGTAGCAATTAACTCATTACTAAAATATCTTAATAAATAGATATTGACGCAACACACATAAATACTGAAATTTAGTCATGATCAAATTAAATTGTCAAAATGAATTAAACCCCTCAAAATTGTAGTAAAGTTCAATCAATTTTGCATTACAATGAAAAAGGATGTTCAGCCGCTTTCCACTTTCAATTGGGCTGCACCTCTTGACAAGAAGCGAGCCTCTTTGCCACCATTGAGGCTCCCATGCATAGCAGCTAACGACGTGCAGTCACTGCATTACCCACGTTGATTGTAGATAATTAAATTTTCGGGAACAAGAAACGAATTGTCTGAATTTTGTAGAGCTACCACCAGCACCGTCTCTATTATAACTTTCACATGAAACAATTGATGGGTGCTCTAAGATAAACTCAAATTCCTAATTATTACTTAAATATCCCAAGGCTTTTAATCATAGGATATTTCTAATCGCAATTTTCGTTCGATCGTAAAATAAAAAAAAATACAGTATAACTCGTAATGGTCTTTTACTTTCATAAGTTAAGTCTCAGATAGAGATGACACTAAAATAAATAGTATCTCGAAAATAGTAGCTCGAGACTCATAGTTGAAATATTTCAGAATATCTTAAACACCTTAAAAATTACGAAATTACTGTTATCGTCTGGGTAAAATAGCTTATTAGTTACAATATGTAAAAATACAGATAATCTAATTTTGACTTCTTGCTGAAGTAATTTTAACTAAACCTCTTTTTGAAAGTCAGACTTCAAATTTCAGCCATAAGATCGGTAGCCGCCTATCGCACTTTGATGATTATACTTGTATAATCCTCTTCAATTAATACAATACTTTCACACAGAGATTCATCCCCTGACTTTCGTTTAATTCTCAAATTGCAGTGGATGTTGCAACCACAATATTTATTCTTTACATTTTAAATTTCTTGGGCATGACAGCTGCGTTACGGCTTAGCTCTTGCAGCGTCAACTGTTCGAGCTGTGATGCAGAATTGCCCATCGCTGCTGCATATTGTGCAACAGTGGAGCATTAAAAAAGAGATGTACAACATATCATGTCATTTCAATTTCGCAGCAGAGAATATGCCCTCAAGCTGACATATAGAAGTATAATTATCGATATTTTTCAAAATGGTTTACATGTCATTTTAATCTCATCTACAATCGCAACACTGAATGTGCCCTTAGGTGGACCTCAAAGAGTGAACATATATTTATTGTTTTAAGCAGGTTTCATTAAAGACCAGAGAATTTGTTTTATCGACAATTTTCTTAATAGTTTTACATTTATTGAAACATATCGAACAATATTTTTCGTTTGCACTGGTAAATCGAAAATCAGGGTACCAGTGGATATATATATATATATATACATATTTACTAATGGCATTTCTTGAGTCTTGATATATATTCTTTATTATTCCGATAATAATAATTTCCACTATAATTTTATTTGGAACAAAAATCATCAAAATCCAGATGCAGCTGAAATAACGATAATCAATGAGGTACGTCTTGTGGCTTATTTCTTTAGGCAAAGAAAAAATCTTTCCTTTCTTAAAAAAAATTTTTGTTTCTTTTTTTCTAAAAAATCTTTTCATTTCTTGTTATAATATTCGTAGAGATATATAACGAGGATCTTATGTTATGGGCATATTGCCTCTGCAGCCGTGAGAGTGGCGTTCCGAACTGGCAAGCGTTGCTGGGTTAAGTAAGTGTATCTCGTGACGAGACGTGAACACATAGAACCCCTGAAGTCACCCGTGTATTTATGTATTTGTCTCGTAGGTTGATGCTGCTGAGTAACTTTAATCCTTACTTTACAAATAAGTACAAATCTGTAGAAAAATTCCATGCTGCATTTGTAATTTACCTCCGAATGCTTTCTTATATAACAATGATTAGATTTTTCCACATGAAATTTATATGATTTTTTGCCAATTCATTATTGCACATGAAACACAAAATGAAGCAACAAAAGAAAATTTTATCGTCTTATTTACGAGTTTTGCAGATTTTTTTTCATAATTGAATTTAATGACAGCGTAGAAATTTTCCATACAAAATAAGTCTCAATAAACATTTTCATATTGAGAGAGAACAATTCTTAATTAAGCATCAATTTTGCTATTCATCTGAATCACTCGTTTCAATTCTTCATGATGCCCAGATTATTTTACACTAGGGTAGTAAGTTCATTAATATAAAGAAGATATGATAAGAGCCCTAGGCCTTAGGGCATTACGAATAAGGTTAGGTTAGGTGGATAAGAATTTACGTATGAAACATGAAATTATTATTGTTCATGAAAATCTTTGACAAGTTTTGATATTTTTCCGAATGAAAACAAAGTGTATGCTATGCGATGCCTGAATTATTGCACATTTGAATGGACCCTGATATATATATAAGAGCTCTATAGACCTTAGGGAATTACGAATAAGGTTATTCTAAGTTCAGGCAAGGGACTCGTTGATGGTTAAGCCGAGCTTATTATACGCAATATGATAATTATTTTTGCATTATATTTAGTGGATAAAATTTCATGTATGAAACATGAAATTATTATTGTTCTTGAAAATCTTTGACAAGTTTTGATATTTTTCCGAATGAAAACAAAGTGTATGCTCTGCGATGCTCGAATTATTACACCATAAGAAGAATTAGGAAAATTTCGTGATGCTCTGCCTAGAATTATTCCAACTTACAAATCGAGATGAGCCAAAATATTTTCACACGTTGCTAAGCAGTTCTAGAAGCCCAAAAATGTACACGTGTTGCTTTGAAAGCATGTAGACTCAAACTTCTGCACGTTTTGCTAAGCAAACAGAGAAGATCAAAAGTTTGAAGGCGTTACTTTGCATCGAAATTAGCCCAAATTTTGTGCACGCGTTGCTAAGCAATTATAGAAGCCTAAGCANATTCTTTTGCAGCAAAGATGGACGATGTTGTAGTAGAACAAGAATTTTGGGGGAGTAATGGCGTTTCGTTGATTTGTAATATTGCCATTCCTTAATAACACACATGGAAGTTAGGTTTATTTTATTTAAATCACAGACTTGAGATGATCTTCGTGTGCACAAGTGTTATCCTAATAATTTGTATGTTCAAGATATCAATCCCTTATTCCAATTTGCGCATATACCTCATCAATAATATTGAATTCGATGATCTCTATCATTTCTCTGCTGCCCACAACTTATCAAATGAGCCCAATAATATCTAACCTTATCGTTGTTGCGCTAACCTCTTCAAACCTCTTTAAGCGCGATAATATCTACCTCTATTTTTGCAGCTTATCCTTAATCTACGTGAGTAATCCCGATGATTAGAATTTCAGATGTGGGTATAATGTTTTTTCTTCGCACTGGCAGTATAAAATTTACACCATTCACTTGAAATTTATACCATTCTAATTTTCGGGTTCTTTTTCTCTGGTTGTTTATCATAATAATACTTGTTAACTAGGATCAATAAATCAACAAACTTTACAATCTCTAGTAAGTTAATTGGAACCAAATATTTTCGGGTTCCACAAGTTCTAAATAGGTCAGAAAAGCAGACGATTAATTATATCGAAGAAAAGCCTTGATTCCTAGTTCATATCATGCGTAAAAGTTTTTTCGTGGAATAGTACGTATTACATTTTCTAGGTACCTATGTTATATATAAATAATATATAAAAATAATTTACTTAAATAAATATTATTACTCATTCCTTTCGCTAGATATAGTTTCGCTTTTGAAAGGAGACACCTCAAACATAATCGATTTATCAGGAGCTGCCTAAGGCCTTGTATAGTCTGAGCATGAATGGCTTGCTGTTTTTGTGTGTGTGTGATGTGCAGTTTCTGGGATGACGAAGACTTTTGGCTGAAGTCCAGACTGTGAATTTCAATGGAGATGTTCCGCATGGAAGGTCAGTTTTTGGTTCACGAAGTAACAGGTGCGTCCGAAACCAGAGAAAAGTTCTTAGACATTTGGCGTGGCATTCAAGAATCTTGAGCAATGGAGGGGCGGCGCGCGAGGTCGCTGGTTAGCAAAAAGCGGTTTTGCGCCCGGTCAGTTCGTTCCACGGTTCCCCTTTCGGTTTCGCCTAGCGGTTGAAACGATGTCAGATGTTGAGTTTTTTCGATGTTGTGGCCAGTAAAGGGTAAAATTATTGAGCAACAGGCAACCGGCTACTTCTTCTACGATGAAGCTTTCTATATAACCAACCTCTACTGGACTCTTGCACTTTAAAGTGAACGGAGACTCTCGAGCGAACAGCACGTCTCACAATGCAGTCTGTGAGTAGACGGGATATTCGTGCTTACATATTTCACTTCACGAGATGGAAACAAATTTCTAACCCCATAGATACGCATTTAATTTGGCCATGAATTATGAAGCCTTAGTTTTTGGTTGCCGAACCACTGGCCCGGCGCGGGATGAATCGGCAAAATTTTGCCAAAAAAACTTACCTCCTCCTGAGCGAATGAAAAACTGGATTCGGAATTACTTGCAACTTTTCTTACAATCTAGATTTAGATATGGGTAAAAAGATGTTCACGCGATGTCTGTATTTTATAAATTATCTTTTATATCCACTCACACAATGTGTGTTGGTTGCGATCTACTTCATAACCAATAAAACTATACAACTATGCAACGATATACAAGATTTATATATCGATACAAAATTGCTCATCGAGCTGACAAAAATAATCAGAATAATTTCATCAAGGAGTTATTATCTTCATGTCCTCGCTAGCAAAAGCTCAGCGAAAAGTGAAAATACTGTTCTTTCAATTAGACTTCTGATAATATTTCAAATGTTGAAATAAATATTTTAATTTCCAATTTATTGGAAATATGAATTTTTTCATTACTCACAATAATTCTAAACATCTGCCAAATGGCATTCACACCCAAAAATTTGCATATGGAAACTTTTTATAAATTTTCTATATAGTTTGACAATATAATATAGATTTCTGCTTGTATGTCATGTCTTACCACGCGATCAAATTGCGAATATATTCTCGTATATGTAATTTGAATGATGAAACATACTGAACTATTTTCGAAACTGTGGTAATTTTTGGCATGCATTAGCCCTGTGTTTCATCATTCCTATATCATTTGAGACCACATGAAACTATCTAAAATTGAGATTGCATGAAAACTTTATATACTCCTCTCGTCTATTTATACCACTTTAATTTGTTTTCGTACTGGGATTTTAAAATAGGTTCATCCAGGTTACTATTTGGCTTAAGTCTCTCAATGGATTTCTTGTAATAAGTGGCCTTGGGATGTTAATAAATACATAGATGAAAGCCGTTGCATAATATATATTTTGGCGAATATACACTTCTCATCTATTTATACCACTTTAATTTGTTTTCGTACTAGGATTTTAACATAGGTTCATCCAGTTTACTGTTTGGCTTATGTCTCTAAATAGATTTCTTGCAATAAGTGGCCTTAGGATGTTAATAAATACATAGATAAACGGCGTCGCGTAATATCTATTTTGGCGAACTGAATCCTGTAATTGGTTTTTGTATGAACTTGGTAGTGCCTTTAACTTTATTTATATAACTTTAGTCAGAAAAATTTGATTGAGGATAAATTATTTCCTGAAGACAAATCATCCACCCAGTTACGTTCAGCAACTTTTCATCGATACATTATTGTCTAATAATCTTCATATAAGTGTCACTGTTTTTTTTTATGAAAGGATGATATAAAAATTGAAATCAAAATTTAGGAATTGGTATGGATCAATTTGATCTAAACTCTGAAGGGTGGAGAATTTTTTTCATTTATGAAACTAGGTCGAGTTTGAGTTCGACGTTCTAAGAAAAATTTTACATTGAAAAGCTTTTCCATTTATTAGTAAATAATTAATATACACTACTCGTAATATATCAACGTGATTGGGGATAAAGGGATCTAAAATTACAGTGATAAACGTTGCTAGGCAACAACGGTCTAAGTAGCTGGTTCATTATCTAAAACTTGTAATCAAAGTCAAATTTCGTTTCATAATGAAGAAAATTGAACTATTCTCTTGCCCACCTAAGTTAAATCAAATCTCGTACTGGCTGGTTTTGCTCATGCTTAAAAGAGTACCACAATTATTTGTAATTTCGAGTACCAAATGCGCTTAAAACTGTGGCATAAAGTTTCCATGCCCGCCTATTTGAACTTTCAAACACAAAACTATTACTAATTGAGCCTTCACCCACCAAATGAATTGGTGGATTTATTGTTATTTTATCAAAAACATTATGCAGCTTTGTACCCTCACAAACATCACTAATCTTATCTTTGCTCTCATCCCCAATGTGGATGATGTGGATGATAGTCTTCGTACTATCATCCACAAAATTTTTCTTATTCCTGCCTCTATCCAAGTTAATATTAATGTTTGTGCCTTCATCCACAGCACTATTCCTATTCGTGCCCTCATCCACCAAACTATTTCTATTTGTGCCCTCATCCACAATACTATTTCTATTCGTGCCCTCATCCACAATACTATTTCTATTGCCCTCATCCACTATACTATTTCTATTCTTGCCCTCATCCACAAAACTATTTCTACTCGTGCCCTCATCCACTATACTATTTCTATTCGTGCCCTCATCCACTATACTATTTCTCCTCGTGCCCTCACCCACTATACTATTTCTACTCGTGCCCTCATCCACTAAACTATTTATATTCGTGCCCTCATCCACTATACATTCTACCGCGAGCTGCCAAATCCATTCTAGAGTGAAGGGTTGAAGCAGTGAAAGTAGAGGTTCCCATGAATGTTGCTGTCATAAAAAATCTTCATTCCACAGTTTATGTCGATCAGATTTTTTTTGTTTGTGAAAGGAGTTTGGCTGGAGTTGGAGGCTCAGAAAGTTAGGCCTGGTGATAATTATCTCAATTAAGTAATAAACCGGCACTGTCAATAAGCACATTATTTAATAAACGATTGCGAATAATACTCTTTATGTTAACTGTGAATCATTTCAAATGAAGTTAAACTGGAACCTGTTAGTTGTTGAGATGAAATGAATAGTTAATTGCAAATTCAATGCATGAAGTCATCAATAAAATGCTGAAAAACGCTGAATAATTCAATTTTCAATCAGCTGAGCTTCTTTTCCATCCGGCAGCTATAAATATTTTAATTTATCAATATACTCATACAATAATAATGTAATCATTATTTCGGTATTTAATTTCGTTTATTTAAAAATATTTAATTAATATATCAAATGTAATTTTTCCGTTATTATAATGCATAAGTAAATCAAGTTACTATTTGTTTTTATTTCGTTCAGGTGACGTGGATGATTCTTGCAGCGCTGGCGGCGCTCGCTAGCGCTGGTGGAGGAGGATACGGTGGATACGGTGGATACGGTGGATACGGCGGTTACGGTGGATATCCTGTGTTAGGTGGATATGGTGGTTTAGGGGGTGGATACGGCGGTTTGGGTGGATATGGTGGTTTAGGGGGACTCGGCGGATTAGGCGGATACGGCGGAATAGGTGGAGTAACCCTTTTAGGTGGATACGGTGGTGGTTATGGTGGATACGGTGGAGGTTATGGTGGATACGGTGGCGGAAAGGGTGGTTATGGTGGTGGAAAAGGTGGTGGCGGAAAGGGTGGTTATGGTGGCGGAAAAGGATATGGCGGAGGTAAGGGAGGCTATGGTGGCTACAGACACGGTGGATACGGAGAAGTCGTACCCATCATCGTACCACACCACGTGCCCGTGAGTGTGCCCGTACATTTCCCCGTGTACCACGGAGTGCCCGTACCAACCCCGTACAATGTGTACAAAGAAGTGCCCGTCGCTGTGGAAGTAATCAAACACGTCCCCGTCGAAGTGGTAAAGAAAGTAGAAGTGCCCGTTAAAGTGCCCGTGCACGTCTCCCACGACGTTTCCCACGTCACCTCTCACGTCACATCCCACGACGGTGGCCACGTAGAATCTAAAGGTAAAGGCAAAGGCAGTAGCTTCACAGGCTACTGAACGTCCCAATCTAAAGGTAAAGGCAAAGGCAGTAGCTTCACAGGCTACTGAACGGCCCAAATCAAACTCCGCCATTTCTAAGTCTTTGGTTACCCTGCATCGGGATGTGCAGTAGAACAAGTGAATATTTTCGATTGTACCATACTTGTAGCTCTAGTCTTTCATCTTTGTTATGCATATTACAACATGGATTAGGAATTTGAACCTTCATGATTGCCATTTTTTACATTTCTTAAGATTTTTTGTAAATGTTTATGTGGTTTTCATCAATTTGTCTATTATTATAAAAAAAATATAAGTTCCATGCTGTTTAGTCCCGTGTTGGCAAATTTTAGGAAATTCCGACTGTTTTCGAAATTCTGATACCTAAAAATTTAGCTAAATAATGTGTTAAATTTCATTTTTTTACGGTATATGTTTTTTTTCTTTATAGACAATGTGTTTATTGTTCTCTTTTACGAAATCACTACAAAATGTCAACCAAAGTAATATACATACCTAATGCCAGGTGAATTCATTAGACGTATTTTTAATTTTACGATTAAGAATTTGTTACCTAATCCCTAACCTGGGGCTATCGAGTTGCTCATATAAAAAAACCTTGCTCGTACTTTGCAAATTGAAAACAATTCTATTTTCTTAAAAGAAGTATAGAAGTTCACCCAGATTGTGAATGAATTCCGTTGTTACGGGTAATGATACATCATCAGAGTCCCCTCACTAGTCCGAGCAAAAAAAAAGTAAAAAAAACTTTAAAAATCATTATATATTCTAAACTTCTCTGTAATTATTTTCTCTGGAATTGTCGGCAGGATTTATGATGCATACAAAGCACCTCAATATTGATACTATCGTGTACAAATGATATGTTACTTGTTGGTCTTGTTTTAATTTTCGAGCTGTTGTCTATAGAAGCGCAATCAAAGGCTAATTTTTTTGCTACATTTTTTTAAGAGAAGGGAAGTAAAATTAAAACACCTGTTAATCAAAAGATATTTTTGAAATCAGGGTGTTATTCAGTAATTTTTCAACTATTTGACGTCGAATAACTCTGCGATTTTAGGAACCCTCTTTGGCAACTAACGCATATGGATGAACGATTTGTATAAATGTACGCGGATTTTTTATATTCTCGTCTTTTTTCGATGATCCTTTCCGAAGAGAACGAAATGAAAACCATTTTTCGATTGACCTCATTGTTTTATTATCAATCTTCAACGAAATTGATATATACAGTAGTTTGATATAAGGTCGCTATAATCATTCACATTTCGCTGCCTGTTGATGGAAAAACATTTATAAATTGTTCGAAGTTTCCTCAGAAACGAACAAATAAGCCTAAATGTGAATCCTGATCTGTTTTGGAAACTTTTTCTTAACATAAAAATTCGAATTAAAATCTCAATCTATTAACCGTATTAGTTGCTGTTAAATTCAGGTCGTTCCTGAATCGGAATGATTCAACCCACTGGCATGAAAAACTTAATTTAATTGAATAATAAGCGATGGAATAAACACAAGACATTTCTTGTGTTTAATTCAAAAGATTTCGGTTACAAAATTCATAAGAGTTTTGTTACAAAATTCATAAAATTTCGGTTACGAAATTCACAAGATTTCAGTTACGATGGTGGCGATTGTAGAGGAGCTCACTCACACTTCTATTATAAATGGCTGGATTTTAACATGGATACTTTTTTACTACCTCAATTATAGTGTTCGATACTGTACATTGAAGGACTATAGTGTTGCCTCTTTACGTATATTAAATAAATGTTTGAAATGAGAATAAAACATAGCACAAAGACGGTATCAACTTTCCCCTATTTTATTTGCTAAAAGGTTTTGACAGGAACTTAACTGCTGGAGAACATTGCATTAAATTTGAGTTTTGTGCTGTTTAAAAAGTGTTTATCGATTCAATTTTACAACATCGAAACACGTGTCAAATGATTTTTGAGTGATTATATTATTATATCAAATGGTTTTTCATCTTCGAGACAACTTCCACAAATTTAAAATTTGTGGTTCGTCATTACTGAGCGAAAAATTATACAAATAATAATAAATTTTGCTCGCACCTTGAAAAATGTTTAAGAAGTAGAAAATTGATTTATTCGTTGACATTTTTCTCTTACAACTAATACTGTTATCTGTAATATGTAATAGGTAGTAATAATAATAAATAAACAATTTGCTCCATAATAAAACGTGTAATTGAAAAGGTCATAGTAATTTCGATTACATAGTAATTACAGATTCGAAGTATTATTTTACTATAAAAAAAACTCGTTTTAAATTTACGCATCCATCATCGATATTCCTTTCACATCGGCATAAAAAAACAGGTCTCATTCAAATACAAATTTTTTGAAATACCAGTTTGGTAATGAATTTCGTTCAATATTTCTTCTGATGCGGCGTATGAAGTGCCTGTAGAAAAATAACGAGCAGGAGGCGTACGAATACCGGGGACAAAGTGCGCCCAGAAAAATATCGGGGACAAAGGGCGCACAGAAAAATACCGGGAACAGAAGGCGCGCAGAAAAATACCGGGGACAATGTGCGCGCAGAAAAATATCGGGGACAAAGGGCGCGCAGAAAAATACCGGGAACAGAAGGCGCTCAGAAAAATACCGGGGACAAAGGGCGCGCAGAAAAATACCAGATACAAAGTGCGTGCAGAAAAATACCGGGTAAGAGTCACTATAATAACGGGTACGAAGTGCCAATATAAATTATTGGGTATAAAATGCGTGTAAAAAATAATGGGTATTAGGTGTCCCAAAAATAACGGATCAAGGTACGCGTAGAAAAATGCTGTGTACAAAGTATCCTTAAACTACCGGTAAAAAGTGCAGTAAAAAATAAAATATTAGAAGGGTCATTTCAAAATTCAGGATTGTAAGTATTTTTTTCAAAATTAAACGTGAAATTAAGCCTCTAAAAACTGCTGGATACGAAGCAACATAATAGAAATCCCACGCCCGAAGCGCTTCTAGGAAAATATCTGGTAAAACTGTCTTTTTCATGAAACTGATTAAATGTGTCTCTAGCGCATTACTGATGAAAAGTGTCTCTGAAAAATTGTCTTTCAAAACTTCAAACGTTTCGAAGGAAAAACGTTAAAACAGTTTAAGAAATCGTATTTTTTGAAAACTATTTTTAGAATAATGAGGTGATAACTTAATTAGGTATCTCTAAGTGTCTGCGCTTATCATCGGATACACGTGGAAAAGTATGCAATTCCTCATAATAACCAAAATTGATACTCTGAAAACACATTTTTTATCTTGGTGATGACAAATATATTATTTTCACAACGGAGAAGACGCATCGTCGAGAAATCGAGTCACGGTTAATGCGTGCACGTGGAAAACAGCGCAATCAATCAACGTACAAAGACAATCAATCAATCTTCTTCACCTCGTTCAGTGTTCTGTCTGTGAAACTTCTCCAAATTGTATAAAAAAGCAGTTCACAAGCCTCATCTATTTAATTAGTTTAAAAATTTCCAATCTTCATAATTGATGCAAGAAACTAAGAAAAATTCTTAAGCCGTCCTGAAACATCTTTTTACGTAATCGTTACTCTGCACTTATTAAAAATTTTGATCAAGTTCATACATGTGTAAACTGACATGTGAGGGATGCATTCAAAAGATATCGAGATAAATTTGGTAACAGCAGGATATAAGCATAGTAAGAGCGTATCAAAGTACTTATATTATCAGTCTGCTTATATCGCAAGTTCATTTAAGGAATTTAAAATGTTAGGTCTCGTTTAGGTTTTATGTCTGTCTTATAATTTTGCTACAATAATATAATTTTATTTATTTTTAGTTTTTCGAACTGATGATGGAGCTGGACTGCGAAACGTTTTCAATATCGATATGGTGAATTTGCTTGGTGTTTTCTTTGCTTTTAAATTCCTTAAGAGCGCATCAGTGCCAGGCGGATTGTTATTGGAGCAGTAACAGAATATTTAAATTTTAAACTGTTCATTGAACGACACTCCAACTTTAAAACGTTTTTCTACTTAAATAAGGCCCATGGTGTCACAATACGAATGTTTAAATCTGAAAATATGCGGCAGAAAGAAATGTTGAATTAGCATATATGTCAGGTCAACGCTCGGTTTTCCACAGAATTGCACACGATGCCAATTCCTTCGATAACTTAACGCGTGCAAAAACCTGCTGTCGCCGGAGGCTTTACACAGTCTAGCCTTGGAATGGCCACATTTCAGGTAAGAAAAAACTGTCTATTACTTCGACCCACCGAAACGAGATTAAAATCTGCTAGGATCATAAAATTGAAAGGTATACGGGTAGTATTGACCATTGAGGAAGAATGTTGCACAGTTAATTAAAAAATTACTTTGCAGCGAATAGGCTCAGAGATGTTTGATTGCTTTGGTAGAAGTGACAGTTGACGAAATTAGTTCAGTAATGCAAAGTCAATTTTTCTGCGATTCTTATATGAAATGTCAATTACGAGTTTTATTATGTGCTCAAAAATGTCATTGTGATTAGGATTGTAATTGTTAATTAGATTTAAATTATTAAAATCTGAATAATTTCCAGTGTTTCAAACAATCCTTTCCATTGGCAGTAGTGAATTTACGTTATTGTGAATGAATGACCCTAGGCCTCAATCAACTTAGGCCATATTACCTGGCTTAAACCGGTGCATATTATTATTGCCTATGAATATAAATAATTCCTCAGTTATTACAACCTTCAAACTAGTAATGCGAAAGATACAAGGTAATTATTTGATACGATTAGTCACCGGGCTAATCGAATCCAGAAAATCACATTCTTCTGCAATATTTTGCTAATACTTCATAGATTAGTTAAGGTTAGGTATCATACAAGGCTATAGTTATTCTACCGATCAAGTATTTTAAAGGATTCATAACAAAACAATCACTCATCTAATAATAATATCAGTTTGCCAATAAAATTAAAGTTTAAAGTCACTTCAATCCATTTGCCTCTATATGAGTGTCTTTTGTGAGTACAAGAATTACTGTCATCTTCATTATTATTGAAATTTTTTTAT